CTCGTTCTTCTTGTTTCTTTTCTTGTTTAATTTCTCGTTCTTCTTGTTTCTTTTCTTGTTTAATTTCTCGTTCTTCTTGTTTCTTTTCTTGTTTAATTCCTCGTTCTTCTTGTTTCTTTTCTTTTTCCTCTAACAACTGTTGTAATTTCTCTTCTCGTTCTTCTTGTTTCTTTTGCTGTTCGTGTATTGCTGCCATCAAGTCTGCTAGGCTGTAGTTTGATTTGCCGCTTCTCGTTTCCATTTTTTTTTCTGTCCCACTCTCTGACACCAATTTGTTACGTCTCCGTTTGTTAATCAACTTTCCGTAACTTCGTTTCCGACGAAACTTTAGCGACACAAGACCTTACTTAATAAAACTGGTTTATTCTTTCCGAATACAACTTTACGATACACTTAATTTCAATATTCGCGCTAAAACAAACACTATAACGAACGTACGTTAATTTCAACAATACTCCGTGACTGCAGTTCAATTACTCACTATCTACACACACATCATTCTCCCGTCACGTTGTCACCCTCTTTTATATACCAGACTACCCTATATCTAGCAAATACTAGAGCATTCGCCAAGGTACAGGATAGTTCTAGAAAATAGGTGGTGCCACACCAGTCACGTGACCTCGATGACGCAACAATACCAACTTGTAGTACTTGCTGGGGGTTGAAGTGTCTGAGTTTACACATACTTTGAAAGAACATAAACATTTACAAAAGTAATAACCTTGGTCATAGCACCAAAAAATCTCCTTTATACTTCTCTGTGGCATATTCCAATGTATGAATTTCAATAAGAAAGAATCAATACACAAGATGTACAGTGCAACAGTATTTATTTAACCAAATTGCATAACAATACACGGTTACAAAACCTTGGCAAGTGGTTATAATGAGTGTCTTAAACTGGTATGAGAAGTGTGGGGAAATTTTTAATAGATATTTCTTACCAGTTCAGAGAGATCCCAATATAAGATAAAATAGAATAAATTATAATGTTAAAATAACCCTGAAGTTCAACTGAAACAAAGTTAACACTATACAAACAAACAGGAAAGAGAATGGCATGTTTAACTTGCTAAAATTAAGATTACTCTAGACTTTTATAACTTATTGCAAATTATGACAAACTTTGAAGAATCTACTTAATAGAGGAAAATGTGGGTTTAAATATTAAACATAATAATGCTTGGAGACGGTTTCAATTGGTAATGAAGAAAAACTTTAATATAAGTTTAACATAACAGCAAATGTACAACATTTCGACAAGGTTTTGTCATCATCAGGTGATGTACATTTGCTGTTATGTTA